CTGTTGGGAAGACCTAAGAGATTGTATATAAAAATATTTGACAGTTTTTGCATGCTGAACTTCAGAAGTAGACCTAATTGGATGTTTGAAAACCACCTGTATTAAACCAAAGCCTACCATAACTGATGTCCTGTTTTTAAGTGAAACAAAATAAAAAAAGGCAGAATTTGTTTTCAGATAGATAAACTTGCTCCTTGCAGAGCTTGCAATGCAAACATTATTGCAGGAGGAACCTGGAAGCAAAACAGATTTCATTGTTCACCCTGCAAGAAGATGAAGCTTTCGAAAAGGAGAAAATAAACAAGGAAATACTGACAAGTAAACAGGCTCTAAAATCATCTAACAGAGAGCTATTTGTAAACTAAGTTTGGCATGAAATTATCGGCAGACCAAGGACAGTAAAATAATTCAAAGAGTGGTAGAAATAAAAGTAATCAAGAAAAATAGCAATTTAGAGCATCTGCAGCACTCAGGATGGACAATTTTTAGAAACTTGACTCAGATTTAAGAAACTTTTTTACCAGTATAAATAACATGAAATATGTTTTACAGTAAGGGCTTAAATTATTAAAGTTCCTGTATTGCCCTTCTATCGTGCTTTATACTCTTTTGAAAGCTTTCCTCCCATATCTCCTTCCTTCTTCTGGGAGGTATTTTATTGGTCTACTTAGCATGACTTTTCTAAAAAGGGATTGTGGTCCAGCACTTTAAAAATGATACTTCTGTTGAATATTTTAGCAAATATCTTTTTTAATGCATCATTTTGTGGAGGTTCCAGCTTTTCTCTCATTCTACCCATTCCTAGCAAATTGTTCAAGCATCTTAGCTGATGAGACTCCAAAAAGGGTAGGAGTATGTGTATCGCAAATGTGGTGTATCAGTGGGAAAAACAGCACTTGTAGTGTTTCTGCAAGTAGCTCTCCACTGAATATTCTGCAAAATGCAAATTTTTCTATTAGTCAAGAAGCTTTCTCAAATGACATACATAAACAAAACTATTGTAGAATTAGGAATCAGTATTTTTGTTTTCTTTTCTTTTGTCTGTAGCTTGGTGTCCTCACCTCATGCAGGGAGAGTGAATATCTAATTTTTTTTCATCCATGGCTGTTGTTTAACGGGCTTCACAAAAACATCAAGCTAAATGATCTGTTGTCTCTTTTGACCTTAGCAGTAATGCTTTCCTCTTTGCCTTGCAAAGGAGCTTTTCCCTATGGACATACCCATCCGTTTCTGTAAGGTAAAAGGAAGTAAAAGCTGAACTGAAGCTAATTTTGTTTACTGGAGGACATATCTAAATGGTTAGGAACAAATATGTGAAGTAAATCAGTGTCTGATGACTTGAATTTTTTCTCATGCTTCCTAACCTTATGAGTATGCTGTGTTCCTTACCTCTCTTTTCTTGCTTTGCAAATCTCCTACAGTGCGTTGGTGGGCTGGCATAGAGAAGAAAGGAGCTGATTACAACTGTTCAGAATGTTATGGATAAATGATTAAAAAATAACAGTTTGAGGGGGGAAAAAAGTGCTTTCCAGACTATTATTAATTTCACAGAGCAGCAGTGAGGTTAGATCTGTTCAGGTAGCCAGTTCTTTTACTTACTGTTAGGGTGTGTATGTACTTTTTCAAGACAAGGCAATGGCACATTCATTAGATTTTTTTTTTTTTTTAATGAAGTCTGGCTACATGCACTTGGATTAAATACAAGCAAAAATAAAACTTGCATTGGTTCAGGAAGTTTGCTTTGTGGTTCTTTGGAAAAGAACATTCTGTCTCCTCTTTACAAAACCCATACAAACAGTCATTTGGCACAGATGCTGTTCTTTGTAGATACCTTACTTTAAATTATCTCTTGGTCATTTTGCAAGATTAAGTATCACAGTTCCTATTTCCCGGATAAATTCTATCTTGTATACTTGTGCTTTCCCTTTGCAAGCCACATCTGCAGATTTAAATGGCTAATATTATTAAATGTTCTAAATATTATTTGAGATCTGCTTGTGGAAAAAAATGAACAAGAGAAATGGTGTATGTGAATTGTAGAATAGTGTTTACAGTGTTTATAGAATACTACTTATTCAGGAGTGGTTATATCTCATTGTAGAAATGACCATGTAAATATGGCTTGTTATACTTGTTGATATTACAGAAGAAGAGCTATAGAGGTACAGAATAGCAGTAAAGTATCCATGATCATAAGGAACATTTCTTTATCAGATAGCTCAAGAATGGCACACAAGCTTTGTGGCAAGATGTCCTTTTCATTTTTGTTTAAAAATTTTAGGGATATTGTTAAGCTACTTTAGTTTACTCTTGAAATCAGTAGTGAGGGCAATATATTTTATGTGGGTGTATAACCTATTTCTTGCATGTGAAAAATTGTCAGGAGCCTTTGGAATTATGAATAAAAGCAGGGAATGAAATGTGTGCTGTGCAACTTTAATCAAACAGGGAGAAATCTCTAGTGCCCTCTTTTGATAACCTATTCTATGGGACCAATTAGAAGGTCCCATTAGAAGGACCAATTGAGTGATGTTGATAGACTATTGGACTGATTCCCTGAGTGGCCTTAACGCCTATTGACTTGAGCTCTTAACCAGAAGGGAAATGAAAGTTACCTTGTACCGTGTAGGAGTCAGTCCAACTTGTAGTAAGGAGTCAGTCCAACTTGTAGTAAATAATATTTCCAGACAGTGATAAAGCAGACATACATGCTCTCCGAATAAATCTCTGCTGTAATAACTTGGAAGTGAAGGTTTACAGACATATTGGAAAGTAATTTGTGAGGAAAAAAAATATTAAAAAAAAATCCAACTTTCTGCTTCCATACATTTAAATACAAAGATTAAAATACGGATCACCATGTTTCTTATCTCTCTAGCAAAGCTTTTTTCCTATAATTAAGAAGGCATGAATTTTCTAATTGATGCCAAATCCAATCTGAGCCACCCACACAATTATTTCACCCTTCCCTCCACCTCCCATCACTATCTGATATTTTGTTTGCACAGTCATTATTCATTAACTGTGTTCATGTCCAGGGCTCCAAACAAGTGAAATCACATTAGTGAGGAGGAGCTCCGAGACTCACGAGTGAAATCTGTTGCGGCGGGTTCTTCTGTTTTTCATTGCCTTTCAAAGCAGAATCTCAACGTGTGTCACAAATTTTGGAGAGCTAAGGAGCTTTAACACAGTGAATTCACTAGTATTTGATGCATTCTTCACTTAGCGGAATTCTTTGAGTCCTTCCCATTTCTCAGTAAAATCAAATTCTTCGTAAGAAGCTACACAGATCACAAATTACTCCTGGAAAAGAGGTCTTTTTTTTTTTTTTTCTTTAATATGTGCATGCACATATGTGTATACATATAAATTATAGTTGGGCCTATTCGCCTGTCTCCGAGTTTTACAAATTAGCCTGTTTTTTTAGAAGTAACTTCCTACTATATTCCTTTTTTCTTTTTTTGCTGTATCTTCAGGTGGCTGATTCCACCCTCTTGCTTATTTTTGTTTGAGAGATGCATGCATGCAAAGGTCTCTTTTGGTATGTTGCTGGTTTGGTTGGGTTTGGTTTGATCTTGGTTCTTTTGGAATCAACAGCAACCCTCTTTTAATGGCTCACACTACTGGCAAGCATTGAATGAGCTAGTAATAGTACCTGGCTCAAGCCAGTGCTTTCTTGATATTTTGGAATTTCAAGTTTTTGACAAAATTAGTTGGTCATTAGATACGTCATCTCTGTAATCTCTGTTAGTAAGCAACCTGATAAGGTTCACTATATAGTTCAATACCTACTTCAATATATAGGTCAATATACCACTTCATAATGCCTGAAATATGCAGCTATCAGATCAGATAGATTGAATTGATCTATTGCTGCTTGGCCTTTTAGTGTATTGACTTGTTACTCACAATTCTTTGCTCTCTTGTATGTCAAATTGATCTGTATATTTACATTATTTATAAACGGATTTATCTTGAAATAAAAGACATCAGATTTGGCTCTGTAAGGGATGGTGGTGAATGCAACCTACTAGAGAAAGTCACAGAATTGAGACACTCTCAGGTTGATGTCTGAAACAGAGCAAATAATAAGAGCACACAACCAAAACTGGTGCAGGTTTAGTAAAACTGGATAGACTAAGCTTGCCTGAAATCTTGAATGTCAGATTCCAAGTTGAGAGGTAGGAGGCATTTGTGGAAAAAGTGGGAGAATCCCTTTCAAAGTCCATTCTCTCTCTCCTCTGCCTCTTGGCTTGTTTTTCATATTAGTCTCCCTTTTCTGCATCCTCCTGAATACTCCCTTTCCCCATTGGGTCAGTGTTTTCCAGTGTTTTCTTCCAGAATGAGCATGCACGGTGCCATCTCTGTTGAGGTTGGGTGGCTACTCATGGCCCCACATGCAGCTGCAACGTGTAGATCCCTACTCTGTCCAATGTACCTCTGTTGTGACACCCAGCACGCTGCCCTCGTGAGCACTAGAAGCACTTTTTTTCCCCTGCATTATGGATTATGGGTCTTCTGCAGGTTTCCACTAAATCTGACTTGGACAGACTGCTTCATAAGGGATAATGTTTGTTCCTGCTGGGTTTGCCACCTTCTGCTGCTACTGAGTGCTTCATCACCATCACATCATAGATTTACTGCTGAACCCTTCAGGAGAGATACAGCCCAAGCTGTTTGTGTAAGCCTGGGTTTAGGATGGATATTTTGCAGGTATCCAGACCATAAAGCCCCTGTCAGTTGTACTTTTGAATCCTTTTGGATACTGTGGGTATTTTAGGAAGTTTGCGTCTCGAAGCAGCCGATGATCCCTAAACAGAAATATCCTTCTAACCAGAAATATCTTCCTCTCTCCCAGCACGGAGAAATCAGATTTTAAATGTCACTCCTTAACAAGCCGAGCTGGTGGCATTCAGTGCAATTGCAAACCCAAACCGGTTTCTCTTCTGGTTTGTTTTCCAGTGAAGAGTTTCCTTTTGGGCAGCCCGCTTCCAAGCACCCCCGGAGAGGAGATGTCAGCCACTTGAGCCGGATCGCGCAGTGGAAGAGACGGCACCTACCGAGACTGCAGCTCCTCTCCCAGGCACATGGCATCTGCATAAGTGGTCACTGGTGAGTGGCACCCGGACGTTGATGCTCCCTTGTGTCCTTGCTCTCACGTCATAACCAACAACTTCTAGCAAACTGGAGTCCCAGGACACAAAAGATTTGATTGCCATTCTTGTTTTTCCAGAAGGGTGACTGGTGAGCTTAGTGAAAAGGGGGCTGGTCCACTGTGCCAGCTAATCCTAGGAAATCCTTCTTATTTGTTTGTATGTTTATGGGTTTTTTCTTTCCCCTCCCTCCTGTGAATGAGGAACTTCCTGGTGAGAGCAGACTTTCCATCTGGAGCAGTAGGTATGTTGCATGACACCCTGTGGGAGAGCTCTTTTAATCAGGGAGAGGTTTCATGCCCTGTGCCTTGGTCTGAAAATACAAGCTGTGGGGCTCTGATAACAGCAGCAGTGACTGGTTTTTGGCAACAAGAGGAGGATTTAAAATGAGTATGTGTGTGTGCGTGTGTGCTCCTACACCCCCTCTCCAGCTGAATGGAAAATGAAACTCTCCAAAGCCTTTTATGTAGCTATGTCTTTTTTTTCCTTTTTTTTTTTTTTTCTTTTTTTTTTTCCATCTCCATGTGGGTGTACACAGACAAACTTCATGCCCAGCTGCCTTTTGAAGATACTTTTTAAGAAAAGAGGCTGCTTGCTTTGACCTCTCATGTCTGTCTTCAGTTCAATAATAGTTATATTCTCTTAGCAAAAGATAATGACTTGTACCTTTTTTTGTAGGCAGGGGAGGCGATTTTCATCAGTTCCTCCCATATGTGATTTTTTTTTAATTTCCTGATAAAACAATAGCAATCTGCTTCCCTGAGCAGCTGAGATGCTGCCATTCTGTGAAACCAAGTACTTGGAGTGCTACCTTGCACCTCCTTAACACCCTGTTTTGCTGAAGATGCTGCTGTGCTGGACTGCTGTTTTCCCAGCAATGTTGCACCGAGGAATTGTTATCAATGAGATGCAACCCAGCCTGCAAAACACACATTGATTATTAAAAACAAAAGTATGTTCCCCTTAGCTAGAACTAAGCATTCAGATGCCTCTGTGCAGCTTAGCTGGGGAAAAGTAGGCCCTGTGTAGGTTGAGGGATTCCCACTAAAACATCAATATAGTACAACTCAGCATCAGATATGGGAACTTTCTGTGAATATCCGATTTCGCAACTGGGGCTTTAAGCAAAACCACTCAAAGTTATCTTCCTGAGAGGATATAAAGAGAACCTCTTAAGGGTGGGTGGGAGAAGGGAGAGATAAGCCCAGGGGAGAAGGGAGAGATAAGCCCAGGGCTCTTGTCCGAGTCCTTCGGATTTTTAACCCATCGTTAGCAGTATTCCTTGGCACACTTGGACAAAAGCTTGGAGGCAGGTTCGTCATGGAGCTGTGCCTGCCAACCTGGCTGTCCACAGCTTCTGATAATTTTTTCAGACCTCTGACTTTCAGTGTAATTCTGGCTTTATGCTGGAGGAAGCAAAGACCCAACAGGAACTCGAGGATGTGTTTCAGTGTTCAACGGTTTAATAGACTGGCCCAAACCAGTGTGTTTTAAATAATGTAAAGTTTGGAACACCCAATTTTGCACTGTGGTGAAGTATCCCCTTTTGCAGATTGCAAGATACCTGCCCTTAGGTGCACATTAGGTGTACATTTATCACTGTTCTTCCTGCTTTGGGTCAAGCTCAGCAGCTGCTCTCTTGGAGATCGCCTGAGGTGTATGCTCTTGTTTTACATGATCTTTAAATAATGAAACAGCTTCAGTGCGAACTCTGGCAGCTTTTAAGGAAAAAAGTTGTTAAAATTGATATAATTATTTTTTCTGAATGGGTAGAAAAAGGGAAGGTAAGTAGCAATTAAACAATGTGTTTTTATTCAAAACTATTATCTCTTGGGGAGATGAACGTTTTCTCACTAGTATTTTTGGTTTTTAGAGACCAGATTGTTGTGCAAAAGCCTCATTTTGTGTATATTCAAGGCTGCTTGCATTCTGTCAAACCTGTAGCACAGGCTGTCTCACAGCTTTGAATGCCGGCATGGGGGAACTGGAAGAAATCCTTTGCTCACTTTTAGTGGGTGGGAAAGCACTTCTGATTGCATGCAGAAGCTGCTTTCGAAATCCAGGATCATCCAGAGGATACACCGTAAATTCGCTGTACAAATAAAGACTGAGTCAGCCAACACCTGCTGATCACGTCAGGTAGTGACTGCACCATGACGTGAACTGCCATGTGTGATGAATATGTCCTTCTTGGTAGGTTTGTCTCCCCTGTTGTCCCTTCCTTATTGCCACACACATAAATCTGTGCAAGTTCAAATGCAGGGTTTCTTTTTGTTTGTTTCTGAAAGAGCTGTGGTAATGCCATGTTCTTCTGAAATTACAGTTTTTAGCTCTGTCTGTAACCTAAAGTCTCACAAGCAAATTGTTTGCTGTTTCTTGTATTTACACAGCGCTTTTCCCTAATTACAAGCAGCCCATGCTCTCAGGGCACTATTATAATGACATGATAAGCTGGTGCAAGTACTTTAGAGTTGGGTAGATGAACTTCCTCCCTCATTGCACCCCACGAAATTATGAACCATCATAAGCCCACAAGTGACTAATGATCAGCTATGAAAGAATGCCTTGAAACTTAAGAAAAGATTAGCTTAAGCCGTGTTTAAACAAACCAGGGCCTGCACTTGTTTACAGATTTTTTTCTTAGATCTGTGGAGTTACTAGAACTAGATGAGCATTTCCGCTGGTTTCGTTGTAATAAAACCTAATCCTTTTATTTTTTCTTGATGGCAGTAAATGGATTTAACCTCTGACAAAATTACTGATACCTGCTCCTATCACCTTGGCTTTGTGTTTAAACATGAAATTCCTAAAAGCCATTGTTTTCTAACTCCGTGTTTAAAAATGCTCAATTGCTATATCTTTTAAGTCCCATCACCAAGACATGGAGACCTTGCTGCTTGGCTTACCTGGGGACATTGCCTTTGCTGCAGCACTGAGGTCCAGGTGCTGAGAGCAGCCACGGCTTGTCATGATGGGCAGTGCTTTTTCCTTTTTGTGGCTGTGGAGGTTTAGAAATGATCTTAATCTCATTTCTCGAGTGACTTGGGGAGTGACTTGAATCTGTTGTGCAAGGATGCGAGGCGCTATTCTTTCCATTTGCGCCGAGTTCACAGTTATTTTACTGTCTCAGACAGCTTTTCAGAGCCGGAATCCAAAATCACGGAGCTCCTGTGGAGTGATAGACGCAGAATGGGAAAGGAGCATTGGGTGAGAAAGAGGAGGAAGGACTGGAACAGACCTCTGCACAGGAGATGGTGTCTGCTGCCTGCAGGCACTAAGCAGGCTTGTGTTTCGGGTGTAGGTGGGATGCTTTTTTGCAAGTTGCAAAATAAAAAGCAAGTTGCATTCCTAGTGCAGAGGGAAGGGCGCAGGGAAGGTGTGGCAAGTGGATGGTATATTTATATAATGAAATACTGCGTTTGCCGAGCCCGTAGCTAGAAAGATTTCTAAATTAATTGCTTCTTCTAGTATCCTTTTAACTCGAGGCGTAGGAGGAGAGTGGGGTTTTTTGTTTGTTTTTGTTTTTTTTTTTGAATTTTCACTGAATACAGAAGTGCATCCATTTGCTGCAACAGGCGAGCACACCAAGCTGATGAAAATTAAATGAGCACCGAGATCCGGTTACATAAAAACAAGCCCCCCGCGGGGAAGGAGCGCGGAGCGAGCACCCTTCATCCGCCCGGGTCCAAGAGGACCGGAGCTGTTTGCCTTGGCCTCCACCTCTGTTTGGAGAGGTTGCTGTGGTGATGAATAGCCTGGGCGCACGCGCACCGTGATTATTTCTTTATGTATAAAACAGTGGCCGTCACGTGGCTTGTCGCTGCCCACCTCCTGTTCCCCGGAGGGGAGTTGAACAAGCAGAACTGCTGTCTTAGAGTCAGTTCTGCAGGAGATCTCCAGCCCCTGGCTTTGCTGCGCTGCCTGGACCTGAGCAAGGGTAGTACATGGGGAAATGCACTTTCCTCTGTAACAGCAAGCGGGAAAGCCCTAGTTAGATGAAATTCCCTCTCTCCCCTGCCCCATACCAGTATGGCAAATAATACTTTTATATCTATCTGTATAGTTCCTTCCTAATCTCTATTTAGCTATAAATGCTACAATAAAATAAAAAGAGTGCCACAGCTGTAGAGTGTTCTTCATGTTGAGATATGAAAGTGTGATCTAACAGCTGCACAGTGATGCAAAAATAAGCTTAAATATGTAAGAATGTTTTGCATTTTTGAGATTATTTTAAAACCTTCATGAATTCTCACTGGTACAAGTATAGTTTGAGGGCACAGTTATCTGAAGGGGACATTATAAACATCACTTCCGCAGAGAGAATTGCTTTCAAGAAAGTCTTGGAAATTGTATTCATTTTGGATTTCTAGCATTGCTTCAAGGGTGAGAAGCAAAGATGAGCAAGCAAGACACTAGTGAAACATTATGCTTTTCAGCAAAATATAAATCTCGATTTTCTAATTTATAGTTTTACCCCTGAAACTAGAAAACTCAAAATCATGGGAAGGATTTACCACCAGAGACAGCTCTTGGACCACTTTCTTCCCTGTATATTGCCCCTGTTCCTAATGGTACGAAGTGGCACCATATGTAAAACTTGTAGCAAGTTATAGGAAAAAAAAAGTCTCTCAGAGATGATCCACAGCCCATGACAAATACAGTGAAATTGGAGTTTCTACTTTTGCAATTCCTTCCCCCCCATAAACGCACATGTTACTCAGTTCTGTGTCAGCTTTCCATCTCCTGGATGGGAAAAACAATTCCTGGTGGTTTCATCCAGGAGGCTAAGCACTTCCAAGATTGCATTGCTCTTGACTGTAGCAATAGTGAAAGGCTTGAAGAGTAAGAAGAAAGCTTGCTAATAGCACAAGGGTCTCTTACAGTCTCTGAAGGAGGAGGGTGTCACAGCAAGAACCTCCTTGCTGAGTTGGAGCAGTCAGAGAAATGTCCCCTGGCAGA